GCTTGTTTAATGGAGTGAGGTTAAGCAAATGTTCCATACCTTGTAGGTTTTGAGGTTTCCTATTCCAGTCATAAACATTACTGACAATGATAGCCCCAGGAGAACTGCAGTGGTTAGTTCTGGTGTCTGAAAATCAAAGGCGGACTATGATGAGTTCAGTTGGTAGTTTCTAAACGCTTGTATTTATAAGCATGACACTTTACGAAACATTTTACAAGCCGCTGTTAATGCCAAGTCTGCAGAATAAAAATAACAGAAGTTTAAAAAAAAAATAGCTTAATCTGTAACTACGCTTTCAGCGAGGCAGAATTAGAATTTAAGTGTTCAAAACTATAGAGTTGATTTACTAAGAAACAGAGCACGTTCAATTTCAGTATATGTTAAAGCAGAACTCCAAGTAAAATATTATTAACTCTTGCAGTGAGGCTACCCCTGCATTGCAAGGGTGAAGTGCTCGTTTTTGCCTATGGTCAAAAATAATACAGTAATGTTTTACTCACTCGATCCATCAAGACGGCCCGCTGTCACAGCGCTTCCTCTTGCCTGTCTCCTCTTCCTCTACAGCGATGGTATTGACGCATACTCATGTCCCATATACTGTGTATAGAATGTGATGACTTGGGGACCTTAGACCGCTGCAGCAGAGGGGAAGTGAGGCGAAAAGGGACAGGCCTAGGTTTTCTTCAAGTGAAACCCGAACACTCCAGTTCTGCACAGCAACTTTTTTTTTAGAATAAAGGAGACGACCAGGGGAGAGAGACGACCAGGGGAGAGAGCGTGAAGAGAGACGGCCAGGGGAGAGAGCGTGAAGAGAGACGGCCAGGGTAGAGAGCGTGAAGAGAGACGGCCAGGGGAGAGAGCGTGTAGAGAGATGGCCAGGGAAGAGAACAAGGAGGATGAGCTAGGAGAAGCAGCCAGGGGAGTGTGCCCTTCAAGACTTATCTGCATTCTATGTTTCAGACAACTCCTTGCTCCCCGAGTTCCAGCATCCCTCCATCTCCCGTTTCCACAGTGGTTACAGTACTTCCATTTCTATTACATCTTCACCACTTTTGATAGTCCTCCACCATATATATAGGACACAGCCTTCAGTAGGATACCTGCACAAAACAAATCATGCAAAATACAGTAGTGTGTTATGGCCCTACAGTGCTCATCTTGCTCTGTCTTGTATAGGCCCTCCGACAGTCACCTAAGTAATGAGAACTCAGTATTAGGAGAAAAGAGTCTTGTTCGCTATGATATAGAATCAGGTACAGCTCAGCTAAATATTAGATGGCCACGTAATCTATTCCTTGTTCATGCATACTGTATATATTCTTTCCTTCTTTGGCTGGTCTTGGAAATCCTTCCACAGTCAGCTTCTGTAAAGATATATTTTCCCCAGCCAGTGGACTTTCAAAGAACAGCCTACTCAGGGAGTACTTAACATCCATTCTCTGTGCATGCTAGTGGTCCTCATAAAACTCATTATAAACATTGGTAATAGGGAGCAAGCACTGTATCTGAGGTTTCCACCTTCGTATTACCTAATGAGGGAGGAAATAATTGTAATCTTAAAAAGAGTGGTAAGTGTAGGAGAAGAGCGTTTTTGTGACCACATCTTCTATACATGAACGCCAGTTATGTCTGCATGGAATTTTCCAGGACTGATTTCCTGATGGTGACAGCAGTAGACGGTGCATAATAAATGCTTAGGCCCCTTTCGCTTTGTACAGTCAGGAAGGGATCAGTGCATGAATCCCCTACTGATTGGATCGGTACGAATCAGATGTCACTGCTGTGACGTCCTTGTCCGTCCAGTTTTTTCCTCCATCTTGTGATGGAGGAAAATTTAAATGATTGGACCCCATGTCAGTCTGTAAGGAATAAGGTCCGGCGAAACGCAACACTGTTCCGTTTGTTTTTTCTCGACCTGGCAGGAGCCAGATGTAAACCGGAACCTGTCCGTTTGTATCCGGCTCCCCATAAACTTATATTGGACATACGGTCGGGTCTGCTTTTAAAACTGGCAGGCGAACCCAATCACACCTGTGAAAGGGGCCTTAAACATATGCTTATAGTCTCCATCAGAACGCTGTGTGGCAGTTTACAAATGTAGGAGCACAATTGGGAGACATTGACAGAGTGATGTTACCCTATTACAGGAAGTGACTGAGCAAGGACCTTCATGGAAGGATCAACAAGTATTTTAAGAATTGGCACATTTAAAACAAAATATTGAAAATTCTCTTTAGAATTGCATGAGCATGTTAAAGAGTGACATGAGATTTTAGGGGCTGGGTTTAAATCTAATGTTGCAAATCTTTGTTCTCTGCATATGCTAGAGTTTAGTCTACACATAACTTTTGTCACACCAGTATGTTTTTGATGTCACTGGGATTTGATGGCATTAAACACAGACCACAAAACTATTCCAATGGGCATTACCCATGAAAACATGGCTATAAGATATCCCAAAAATAATCAAACATGCATTCCTTCTTGTTCAGGCCTTAGTAATACAAAGTAAAGTGTAGTCAATATACGTTTACTGCTAAAGGTTACAAAGTTTTGAGTTTGTTTTTCAGAAGGTTTTTTAAAATTCTAGGTAAGAAAAGGTCAGATTTTTGGCTAACTCTGCCCATATTGCCCACACATTTTTGGTTCTTAGTCCATTTTTCCCTAATTGTTAAATAAATTACTTGCTCAGCTACATTCTTTCTAATCGTGGCAATGGTCCTTTAACCTCTTCAGGAGCAGCATGGTACACCCCCTTCCTGTCCAGGTCACTGTGATAGTTTGACTGACCATTACTCAGTCATGCTACACTGTACTCAAATGACCTTAATACCATTTTGTCTGAGACAGATAAAGCTTTCTTTTGGCCCTTATGAAATAACCACTGGGGTTTTCAAGTTTTTCTATAAAAAGGAAAAAATACTGACAATTTTGAAAAAGAAATAAAGGTCACCTCCTACTTTTCCTTTTATTCCTTCATTAGGTCCTCCTCTCACTCTTTCCTCCATTGTAAGAGGAAGGAAGCTCACCAGTGTAAACATTGCCATCTGATCACTACGATAACCAATCACAGTGATCACAGGGCACAGAGCCGGTCTGAGAGCCGATGTATTTCCCTGTATAATAAGAGCGGGACGGCTGGTTGTGTGTGTGCCGGGCACGTGCACAAAGGTAAATGCGAGATGACGTAAACCATGTCCACCTGTCCTAGCCTTATAGTTACAATTATCGGACGGCAAGTGGTTAAAGTGACACTAAACTCAGGAGTCAAACCTTAAAAATGCATTCAAGTAACCTATTTATTACAGGTATTTATTTAGCGCCGCAATTTACGCAGCACTTTACATAGTTGCACATTCACATCAGTCCCTGCCCTCAAGGAGCTTACAATCTGAGGTCCTTATCTCACATACATGCATACAGAGTAGCACCAATTTTAAACAGAAGCCAATTAACTTACGCAGCACGTCTTTGGTGTGTGGGAGGAAACCGGAGTACCTGGAGGAAACCCACGCAAGCACAGGGAGCACATGCAAACTCCTTGCAGATAGTAACCTGGCCGGGATTCGTACCAGGGACTATTAACATTTGTGTGTCACTCGGCTGTAGATCCTTAAATCATCTCTGGATTGGTGCTGACACTGTTGATCCTTTTATTTATTGTCTTTTAAAAGTTTACCTTTTTGAAAGAGCAGTGAATGCTTAATTTTTTAAAACTTTTTTCTTTTATTTTTGTTCTATTTTGTTCTATTTTTTTTTTTTTTGATGTATGGTTGTGTCATTATGCATACTCATCAAAGGAGGAGCAGCTAACTCAAAACATTGATAGATGAACTGAAAAATCCTGTCTGACCAGTGACTTTCCTCCCCAAGAACAGTCAGCCAGGGGCAACGAACACTGCCCATAGATATGACAATCTTGAAGTGACAAGGCTGATGTGGGCTGCAGTGGCTGACAATCATTTAATATCCTTCAGGTAGCTTTTTAATTGTGTTTGTTTAGTTTTCTGTCATTTAATGGAAGGATCAGATTTCCTTGCTAAATGGCAATGTCCTAGTTAATCTGAGATAACAATAGAAACAAAACAGTCCAGATTAAGATGCCTTGAGTTCCTGGAAAGTACAGAGATACAACACAAACCAGTTTTCCAGGGCAGAAGTTTCCACAGGCCAGACAAAGCTGGCTAAGGTCATTCACTCTGGAGATGAGCCGAGATGAAGGACAGGGCATAAATCACGTGATGGAGAGCATTCCAAGAGGGGTTAGTAGAATCTGAATGTTCCTTAAGGGGAGAACAAAATACATATCCTAAGGCTGAAATACACAATGCTGTGGAAACCATGAAAAGGCATAATTCTTGTTTTTATTCTATTCATTTAAAATTGTGATTTTAAAAATAACATTTAGCACATGATACATAATATAGCACTGCTGAAATTTGGCTATTATTTTGTGGATAGAGAAACTAAAATATAGATTCCTGAATCATAACACCACAGTAACAAAAATGCTTAGATTTTAATCACTCATAAAAGAACAGTAAAACCTAAAATGTATTCAGGTAGATCTAAGCCCTACATGAAGGACATTTAGGGGGTTATTCACAAAGCTAGCCGAAGGATCAGCTGAAGCTTCAGCTGATCCTTCGGTTGCGGGAGCCCTTTGGTTCAGTCAAACCGAATGGCTGCCGTACAGGCTACTCGCTTTTGCCCGTACAGCTTCTGAAGGCGGCCGAGCGGCTCAGCCGAGCCAAAGGCATATGCTTCGGCTAGACTGAGCCGAAGTGACAGCCAAAGTGGGGCGAACTGCCGTCTGGCCGAACGCCTCGCAAATGACAGCTAGGCGGAGCCGGCCGTCCATCGTAGCCTTAGGTTTTTATTCTACTATAATTTAATACCACTGTCAGGGGTATTCAATGAACTGGCAAAATGTTCTTCTTTAACCAAGGTTACAACAACAGTAACAACTGTCTGTTTGTTTTTGTTTGTTTTTGTTCTAGTTCTATCAGATTCCCCATGGATCAGCACTTCTGGGTCCTGTAAGGGCAGATGTTTTGAACTTCAAGAGGCCGATCCCCCTGCATGCCGCTGTGACAACCTGTGCAAGAGTTACAACAGCTGTTGCCAAGACTTTGATCAGCATTGCCTAAAGACAGGTATGTGGCAACGTTGTCTTATTAGTGCATTCATGTATAATGCCTGCTTCTTCACAAAGAGTCTTCTAAACACAAAAGACTCCTGAAATTATGACCTTTTTGGATTTTATTGTCATATTAAAATGGAAAAGTGATTTATTGGTTCCTGAATTATTTTAGCTAATGCTTCCTGTTGGGTTGCTTTGTAAAATAACACAATGCGTCAATGTCTAGAACACATTTTGTTTTTGGTCACAGATTACCAGATGCACATATTAAAAAAGGATTACTTGGTTACCTCCTGGTTTGGGGTTCTTTACATTCTTGATGCTGTCTATTCTCTGTGTTGTGTATCGGATGTGAAGGAAGTCTAAATCTGCTAATATCCTTAGCGGTTTTGGACCTGTAGATGCTTGTTTGGGTTTAGATTTTGCATGCCTAGGCTAGGTATCTCCATTCTCCGCTGAACATTGGTGGAGACCCAACCTGAGAGGTGGGATAGCCAAGTTTTGCTCCATTGACAGAGTTGTCTGTTCCTTCAATACAGAGCAACATTGCTTCGTCTCTTTGTTTCCGCTTCTCTCTACCCTTTTCTACATTTTTCATCCTGTCCTCATCTGCTTTTTTTTCCCCCCCTTTTTTAATTCTCGCTTTTTTTTTCCTTTCTGCTTTCCTCTTTCGCAGCATTGGACTGGACATGGTTCCTACCAGATGATTCTCTGCCCTACCCAGATTCTAAGTCGACCCCTGCAACAGGTTTGACACAAGTAATATGTTGAAAATTATTTTATTGCCTTTTAACATTTCAACATCATAAAGCAGACATGCTTATTGTATTTTGTATTCATGGGTGTAAGATAATTATTTCACTTAAAGTAGAGCTGAAGCCAAAACTTTTTTTTTTCTATTTTGGATAGAGTAAAGAAAGCTTTTTTTTTAAAAATAAAATCACACAATGAGAAAGCGCCACTACTGTAAAGAAACCACTCACGTTACTGATGTCAGCATATCGTGTGTCCGCTGGTCCTACAGTGCCGGGAAAATGTGCAGGGGAACGAACTGAGAACTGTCAGGGGTGATCGTGTGAACAGCGTGAACTCAGCTAGCCAGGCTGAGCAGAGGCTGCACGAGTATAAGGCGGTGTTAGTGCCGGACCGTACGGAGACCCCAATAGTCTGTGGGGGTGGTGTCTCTGGAATGTCAAAAACGAAGGGGAATGAAAAGAGCTGGACAAGGGTAGTGTCCAATGCCGGCGGCTACGGGTTTCGAGGCTCTGCCTCTTTGTCAAGCCTCAATTGAAAGTGCAATAGAAATGGCGGGATGTCTTGCCAGTGTTTAAATTTGGCAGCTGGGAGGAGTCAGGCGCTGTCCAGAGTGACTGTGATTGGTGGAGGAGACGAGTCTAAGGGCACACTCCCACTTAGGGGCTGTGCTTGGGGGAATGGGCATAGATCGAGCAGAGCAAGTCTATCATAAGGTTGAGTGGGAGGAGAGATGAAGGGATGAGCAAAAACAACCCACAAGGACGGCATATTAATATCATATTGATAGCATTGTGATCTCGGGATGCCAAATGACAACCTGGATTATTATGTAGGGGTGTGTGCCTACGATAGACACAGGTTGGATGTCTGGGGTATAAAGAATCTATATGGCTGTCTGTTTAACCAAAAATGGTGCTTTCTCATTGTGTGATTTTATTTGTGTACCCACAGGGTTCCTCTCCCTTTTTTTGACAGAGCTTGCACACTGTATTCCTAATCACTCACTTTTTTACAGTACATTTCTGTATAGCCGATTGAAGTCTTTTACCCAGCAGATAGTGCGCTTTAGCCCTTTTTGTTGTTCTAATTGCTTGTTTTTTGTTTTTTTTCCCATTTGTTTCCCATTGAGGAGATTTGCCTTCACTTCCTGTCCAATAGCTACAGCAGGAATTTAGAGAAAATTCCTCCAAAGAAAGGGAAATCCCTGGTTGTCAACAAGGTCACCCGGACTAGTGTCCCCCTCTTGCTATTCTGATGACAACCCAAAATGTGGGATTTTATCTCACCTTCAGTGATAACAGTCAAGACAAATAGAGAGGGTGAAAGTAGCTAACGGGAACACAGATAAGGGCTCTAATCTCTTTCACTCTATTCAAAACTGAAAAAACTTTTGGTTTTAGTTGCACATTAAATTGACTATGATTTTTGACTATTTGGTGGGCCCCCAATATATATTTGGCTTACTCCAAGCTACCAATGTTTTTCTTCCTGGTCAACAAAGAAGCTTTCCTAGCAACATTACAGCCAGTGTGATTCACCATGGCCGAATGTGCGTTACTTGTTTCTAGAGATGAGGTAGGCTGTACTTCTTAGGGTTAAGGGTTTATGTAGAATGAAAGGCTAACTCCAGACAATTTTTTTTTTTCTTTTGGATAGAGCTGGTAAGACTTAGCATTTTAGTTAAGGTTTTAGGTCTACCTGTGACACCAGGGCAAGGAAGGCTTTTTATTTTTGTCTGTGTTCATTTAAATGCAGCTACAAAATGATTCTATCACCAAGTTGCCAGTAATTGTACTATTAGGTCTTGTATGTAGGAGCTTCAGTATGTGAAAGAGCAAGCTTTTACAAAGTATTTGTGAAACTTTCAGCAAGTTTTGAGTACCTTTTTGATGAAGCTTTTTAAAAGCACATTTTAGTTCCAGCAATATTAGATCCAATAATATCAAATAATACAGAGTTGGTTTCAGACATGGCAACACAGGAAAATTTGGGTAACAGCGATCACGGGGTGATCATGTTCATTGTAGGTTACAGAAAAGGAAGGTAGTTTGGTTTGACAAGAACAGCAAACTTCCAACAAACTGCGATCCTTAAAGGAGAACTATGAGGTGAGTGAAAATCACTAATTCTCATAGTTCGAGCCGACATGTGACAATGAAACTGTCACACGTTGGCTCAATAGATAGGGAAGTGAGCAAACGCATACTGTCGCTAGCTCACTTCTCAATCATCTCCCTGCAGAGAGTGGTGACTGTCAGTCACCGCTCCCCGCAGGGATTCCCCCATCCTCGCTCCGATCCTCCAGCGCTGAGGAACGGATGGGGCGGGTACAGCTGGCTCTGCCTCTAGATAGGAAGAGCCAGCTGTCAATCACGCAGCTGGGTGGATCTCAACAGCATTGTCCGGATCCGTCCCGGCTGCGGCGGTCTCAGTATACCGCAAGCTGTAGCTTGCGATATACTGAACTTTGGATCACGGGAGGAAACATGTATATGTCCTCCTGTGACCCTAAAGAGAACTATGGGAAAAAACACCCCATAGTTCTCTTTTTTAATGAATGATGTCAAATGGGAGGAGCTATTTATAACAAAGAACACTGAGACTGAGTGGGGTTGTTTTTAAGGATATACTAAACAATAGCATTAACCAGTGCATACCATTGGGCAACAAAAATAAAAGAATAAAAGCTAAACCGGTATGGCTGAATCTGAAGGTAAAACCACTAATCAATAAAAAGAGACTGGCATTTAAAAATGTTAAGATGGAAGGGACAGCACTGGCCTTCCAGAACTACAGGGAATGCAATAGAAAATGTAAAAGTTCTATCCGT